TGTTCCACTTCCAATCCGGCTCTCTGCTATGGCCTGGGAAAGCAGTAGAAGATGGTCCAAGCACTTGGACCCCTGCACCCGCATGGGAGACCTGGAGGAAGCTCCTGGCTCCTGGCTTTGGATGGGCCCAGCTCCGGCCGTTGTGGCCAGTTGGGGAATGAAGCAATGGATGGAGAACCTTTCTCTTTGTGTCTCCCTCTAACTGTGTGTTAACTCTACCTCTCAAATAAATAAATAAAATCTAAAAAAATAAAGACCCCTGGTATATGTGGATCTTAAACATATTTGCACCAAAATAAACCTATCTCTTAACTGCATTTTTCCACAAAGTTGTTGACTACTTTTGGGTTTAAAATAAAGTTGCTAACAGGATGAGTCAGGGGATTCTTAGAGAACAGACAACAGGAAAATACAAGATGTGATGAGTGATGGGTGACTGACACGCATCCCAACAACCAAGGGATCTCATTGCCATTGCCAATGATCGCTTAGAAACAGGCAGGTGTCCTAGCCCCAACCAATTAGGGACAAGATGAATTCTACCAGAAATCGTTGGAAAGGCCTTCTCTATCGTAAGTAGGCAGCACAGTGAGAAAACAGCTGTCTTCTCTCTCTAGACAATGCCTTGTCTGGATGTGGCCCCTGAAACTGCTGCAGCCATTGCCGCCAGGAGGAAGGCCGCCTGAGGGCAAGGTCATTGCCACACACCACAGTGCAGCAAGATTTAAAAAATAGAAAGCCTTGGGTCACTGATGACCACTGAGCTGCAGAGTCAACAGACACAGGAGCTTCATCTCTGGACTTCTTGGGGTTTTTGTTTTTGTTTTTGTTTTTAGATTTTTATTTCTTTTGAAAGAAAAAATTACAGAGATAAAGAATCATCTGCTGGCTCATGCACCAAATGGCCGCAACAGCCAGAGCTGGGCTGGTCCAAAGCCAGGAGCCAGGACCCCCTTCCAGGCCTCCCACGTGGGTGTAGGGCCTAGGGACTTGAGCCATCTTCCACTGCTTTCCCAGGCCATAGCAGAGAGCTGGATTGGAAGAGGAGCAGCTGGGGCTGGAACTGCTGCCCATATGGGATGCCAGCACTGCAGGCTATGCCATCTCACTGGACCCTGAACTTCTTGTTTTAAGATAAAGTACATCTCTACTCTGTAAACCTATTTGTTGGAGTTCCTATTTCCAACAATTGATGGCAACCTAACAGATACGGAAACTAAAGAGGAAAGAATCACCAGGTATTGATTATATCGGAAGTGTGTCTGAACATTGAAATGGATATGTTGATTCAACTTTGGTCCTATTGATTTTATACTTTAAAATGAATAGTTGAGTGATTTACTATAGAAATGGGTTACAATATGGGTTTGAGTCACAATGTCTACTCTCCTGGGACATGCATTTGGCGCAGCAGTTAAGATGCACATAGAAAACCTGCATCCCACATCACAGGGCCTACATGTGAGGTCCAGCTATGTTCCTATTACCCGCTTCCTGCTAATGTGCACCCTGGGAGACAGAAGATAATGGCTCAGGTACTTGGATCCCTGCCACCCACGTGGGAGAGCCGGACTGAGTTCCCAGCTCACAGCTTCCACGTGGCCAAGCCCCAGCTATGGCAAGTATTTGGGATTTGGAGAATGAACCTGTAGATGATATGTCTATGTCTGTCTGTCTTTCTGTCTGTCTGTCTGTCTCTCTCTCTCATTGTCTCCCTTCTGTCCTCCCTCTCTCAAATAAGTAAAAAATTTCAGTGTCTGTTCTCTGTACAGGTTCTTGCCAATAAATCTAAAAATGAACCTATCAGCTCCAAGAAGACATGGATTCTGCCTATGTGAACCTCCTCTATGCTCTTAGCACTTCACCTGTCAGTCAGTCCACCTCAGTCATCACGTGGAGCTTTCATTCCTGCGACACAAAGCCAACTCCGCAGCCACACTGTCCGCAGCAGGATCAAGACACTGAGCTCCCTCCCACCAAAGCAACGAGTGTGTGACAGTGCCAAAAACAGACGCTCAGAACTCGCAGCCACGCATCCACTGCCTTGCCTGAGGTAAGGCATCTGCACTCTGCTCTGCTCCTTCCCAGGAAATGAGACCACAGTCTATTCCGAGTCGGTATTATTTTTAATCAATCCCAACTACCCACCTCAATCTGTTCATTTAGAAAGTTTTATGTGGGTTTTAGCATTTGCCTTGGAATATCATTCATATTATAAAAAAGGATATGATCATCTACAAATAAAATAACTCGGTCAAAAATAGGAAGGCAGCAGATGGCCAATTAAAGTATTATTATATTAAATAAGATTATTTTTAAAGGGTTTCAATGTTGGTATTTTTATTGCTTCATTAAGGAAAAAACCATACTGCATTTTACATTGTTCATGCTCTACCAACAGCCACCATGCAGCTCTGCCTGCAAACCGACGCAGCTCAGGAAGTACCTGGGGGAATCTGTATTACTTTCCCATTGCTATTGGAACCACTCGCCATGAATACAGCAGCTTAAAACACCAAAATGTAAAACCGTACAGCTCTGGAGGTCAAAAGTCTGAAATGGGTCCCATTGGCTAAAATCCATGTTGGCAGGGCTGTGCTCCTTTGAGGCCCTGCGGGAGAATCTTTATTTATCTGATTCTCCGCCAGCAGTTCTTGGGTCAGGGCCACATCACCCTGACCTCCACTGCCATCATCACCTCCACTTCTCTGGCTCTAGCCCTGCAATCTCCCTCTTACTAGAACCTTTGAGATTACCCTGGGCATTCAGATAATGAGGCCTCCCCACCCCATCCCAAGATCTTTCACTAATCATATCAGCAAACCATATCCAGGGTTCAGAGAGTAGGACAAGAATAGCTAGGGGAGTCACTTTTCTATCTACTACGAAATCTATCACAAAGAACAGAGGTTTTCTACTATTTCACCTAACCTGCAAGTATTTAAGAAACTGTTCAATTAATATTGAACCAGAATTTCAATACTTGTGATACTGTAAGACACTCCTGTCCCTCCAGAAGAGGTTCGTAGGTGAATCAAATTATAAACCCAGACACCACTCAGTCTTCCCATAGTGGGGAAAAAGGACAACTTCAAAGATATGTCCCTTGCTTTGGTTTCTAGGCAAGCTACAAGGCTAACATCACGTTGATAAAATGAATTCACTGGGAAAAGAAGTGGCAAGGAAAAGGTAAGAGACATCTGGGGAAACAGTAAATTTTGAGAAAAAAATAATATTAAAAAGGGGGGTGCTGGTATTGTGGTGCAGAAGGTTAAGCTGCCACTTGCCATGCAGGCATCCCATACCTGGAGTGTCAGTTCAAGTCCCAGCTACGCTGCTTCCAATACAGCTCCCCGCTAATGTGCCTGCGAAGCAGCAGACAACGGCTCAAGTACCTGAGTCCCGACCACCCACATGGAAGACGTGGATGGGGCTGCTGGCTCCTGGCTTCAGTCTCATCCAGCCCCAGCAGTTGCTACTCTATGGGAAGTGAACCAGTGGATGGAGATCTCTCTCTGTGTCTCTGGGTATGTGTCTCCCTCTCTATCACTCCATCTTCCAAATAATAAAAAAAAAAAAAGACTATTTCATTGTACATGATACTCCCATAATATAAAATCACCACCTAAGAGTTTTTTGTCTTTGTTCTAATCTGCTTTATATTAAGTGCTGCTTGTATTTTGTATTTTATTTTGAACATCTCTGTGTAGAACAGGAATATTTCAGACCCAATATTTGTTGACTTATTCACAGATCAATGTTCAGATTATTTTGTGTTTGTTAATGATATCTTCATACCCTTTATAAGATTTTATCAGTTTCATTTGATATGCTTTTAAAATGCTTATCACCAAACCATGCTGAGTTTGTCCAGAAAGTAATTCAGCAAATACTGATGCATATTAGTAACACCGTGTGCCTGTCTTCTGCATGGAAGCCCATCCTTATTATCCTCTTTCTGTATCAAATGCCTAGCCACAGGAAAGCCCTGCTGTACTTCAAATACAACCTTGATGCCAACCTACAGCCTGGTAATCCCAGAATTGTGCAAGGAAGTCCTATATAAAACTATGTAGAATTTGCATAGAACCTACAGATATCCCTCCATGTGCTTTAACTCATCTCTTGATTACTTCTATAATACCTGATATGCTGCAAATGTTATCACACTGTGTTGTTAAGGGAATAATAACAACAAAATTCTACATGTTTGGTACAGATGCAATCTTCCTAAGCTTAATTAGAATTTTTTTTTAATATTTCCAATCTGCAGGTGGTTGAATCGATGGATGCAGAACCCATGATGCAGAGAACGGAGTCAATGATGCTAAGCTAACAACAGCCACAACGAGGGTATCAACAGGCCCAGCATCAAAGAAGAAGGATTTCAGAGGCGGGCTTTCTTTGGAGAAGAGGTCACTTTAGCTTAGCTCAAGAGAGTAGGGCCTCGAGAGTCCCTTAGCACTGAATAGGGTCTCTTCCAACATAGGGGAGAGACAGGAAGAGGTATGTCAAGCCCAGCGCATCCTGGGAGTGGCTCCTACAAACACGGGCCATGCACAAAAGAAAGCACAGGACTATCTCAGCACTCAGACTGCTGGAATGGGACCGTGTTTGCCAATGAACAGGAAAGTCCTGGGACTGCCAAATGCTCATCCGGAAGTGAGGGCGGAGCTTCCTCTAACGAACAGATTCTACAAGGATACTGTGGCAGGTGCTTTCATGATCTGACCCAGGCTCATCGGTGCTGCTTGTTCAGTGGGCCGGTGTCACACATGCCCTCTCCATCTGGAAGCCTCCAAAAGCCTGAGACGGGAAGGGAAAATGGGATTCCTTCCCAAAGCCAAGTAAGCAAGCTCGTGACGAGCAGCTGGAGACGAGGGCCTGGCTATCAGGATGATAAACGGGAATTCATCCAAGAAATAACTGACAACTTTCTCCCAGATGAACACCCACCTTGGCAGAGGGAGAGGAGGGGAAGGGAGACACGCATGACCTACCCAGGCCTTGATTCTGCTGCTCCCACTCGATGGCATCTGGCATTTGGTAGGTGGCTCCCTCCAAGGGGCCCACGTTGTCCTGCGCGAAGCCCGGTTCCTGGGACGTTACGCCAGGGACAGTAAACCCTGGCAGCTCAGTGTCACCATCCAAGCTCTCATCCAGGGCGTCCGTGTCTTTATCTTCATCATCTTCTTCCTCATCTTCCTCTTCTTCTTCATCTTCATCTTCATCCTCTTCATCTTCATCTTCATCTCCCTCTAGGAAAAAAAATCAAAGGAAAACATGAACACAGAGAGTGAGCTGCATATTCAAACACAGGAATCTTTGAAATGATGCTAACGTCACAAAATAATTATGCTTGGCCTTTTAAAATTAATTTTTATAACCAAAGTCACACAATATGAGTTTTCCAAGGTAATGCACTCACAGGTATGTCAGATAAATATCATGTGCTATGTTTATTGGGAGTCAAGGTACAAGTAATACTGTTATTAAAGTTGTATCTGCATTTCCAAGGGCAGAAAACATCCCCTCTGGTGCCAGCACTCTGGTACTGTGCAATAAGCTGCAGCTTATACCACCAGCATCCCATATGAGAGAGCCAGTTCAAATCCTGCTGCTCCATTTCTGATCAAGCTCCTTGCTAATGCACCTGGAAAGGCAGTGGAGGATGGCTCAAATACTTGGGTACCTGCTATCCATGTGGGAGACCTAGACAGAGCTCTTGGCACCTGGATTTGGCCTGGCCCAGACCTAGCTATTGTAGTCATTTAGGGAATTAACCAGAGGATGGAAGATCTAAGATCTCTCTCTCTCTCTCTCCCCCTCTCCCTCGCTCCCTCCCTCCCTCTCTCTCTCTCTTCGCCTTTCAAGTAAATAAAACATCCCCTTCCTGTTTTCCAGGGGCCATTAAACATTTATTGGCGCCCGTTCTCCCCGGGAGGAGTGACAGAAGAAATCAGCAACAACCACATCAGAATTCCCAGTCCAAGTCTACACGGGAAAGGGGACACTTCCCAAGGACTCCGGGAAAGCAACGCCTGAAGAAGTGACCATCATCACCCCCGCAGGAGTTAACACTCGCAGTCTGCCATTTATGACTCAAAGGCACCGCAGAGTCCCAATGTCATTTTAGTTCACCAGTTTTGATCCTCCGGGAACACTTCAAGCCCCCCCCCCCCAGGGATGCCCCTCTGAGGCCCCTCCGAGTGCCTCGTCTCTCGCCTTGGTCAACACAGCAGCTCCTGAATTAAGGAACTCTGCCTGCAGGTGGAAACGAGAAGGAAGGAGGGACACTAAAGTCACTCAAGAATTCCAAGACTCTCCTTTCCTACCTTTAAACGGTCTTCTCCACACCTACCCCTTCCCTTCTAGTACTTGGAGGGTTTTCTTTTTAACTTAAAAAAAATTAGTTTTCATCTTTTTGCACTCTATGTCCTTTAACCTTGTAGAATTTAATACCTGTCACCATTCCAAAAGTCCAATGACTGTTCAATAAGCACCTAACAGGTGTTGTGCCAGGCCCGAAGGATGGAGCAATAGTGTCTCCTCCTTCATGGAGCCGATATGCCACTCATACAGCAAACACCTAGATACACCAACAGACAGATAACCTTAAACTCTGATTACAGCTGTCAAGAAGACAGAAAATGCCAGGCAATGTTATTTTAGATGGGGAGATTAAGAAAAGCCTTTCTGATAAAGTTTGAGCAGAAACCATTAAAAAAAAATCAATTCACTTGTTTAATTTAGGTCAGTATCCACCAGAAGAGCCTTCCCAGCAGAAAGAACAGCAAGAACAAAAGCCTGGATGCAGGTGTGTGCCTGCTGTGTTCACACAACGGCAATGACTGGGCGGGAGAGGGGAGGGACAGCGAGAATACTGGAAATGAGACAGGAGGAAGTAGGCGGGGGCAAATTTGACTCTGGCCCCAAGGTGGGGAAGGGCTTTATCAGAGCAAGATGTGAAGCAAGAAGACATACCAGGAGGCTGTCTGAAATCGTGGGACAGGTGACGGTGCCTTGGAATAGGGCGTTGCCCAGGGCAGGGGGAGAGATGGCCAGAGCTGGGATGTAAACCAAATGCAGAGTTCTGCTGATAATTAGGATGTCAGATAAAAGAGGAAGAGCCCACATGACTGAAAACAGGAGCTAACGATAAAGAAAAGAACCAGGAATTTGGCCGGCACTGCAGCTCACTAAGCTAATCCTCCGCCTGCAGTGCCGGCACCTGGGTTCTAGTCCCGGTTGCTGCTCTTCCAGTCCAGCTCTCTGCTGTGGCCCGGGAAGGCAGTGGAGGATGGCCCAAGTCCTTGGGCCCTCCACCTGCATGGGAGACCAGGAGAAGCACCTGGCAGCGCGCCAGCCGTAGCGGCCATTTGGGGGGTGAACCAACGGAAAAGGAAGACCTTTCTCTCTGTCTCTCTCTCTCACTGTCCACTCTGCCTGTCCAAAAAAAAAAAAAAAAAGAACCAGGAATTTTACTTGTGATGACCATACCTGTGATGACATCCCAATGCTGGAAGCTAGAGATAAAAAGTTGAGAGTCAACGGAGAAATAATGTTGAAAGCTTTGACAGTAGCTGAGATCACCAGGCTGGACACAGTCCGGTAGAGCCCTGGGAAATCCACCACAGATAAGGGAGAAGCAGAAGTGACCAAAGAGGTGACAGGAAACCCACAAAGACTTTGTCAAGGAAGGCAAAAATAAATAAATAGATAGATAGATAGATAGATAGATAAAACATTTCTAAGGGTCTCAATAATAGACAATATCCCTCTGGCTTTGACACTGGGAGGGCATTAGTGATCTTGGCAACAGTCATTTCCTTGCAATGATAGGGACAAAAGTCAGGCTGGAGTGGTGCAAAATGAATTATAAAAGAAGTAGATGCACAGTGAAGTGTTTTGTCCTACCAGTTGGGATGGCTGCTTGGGTTTGAGTTGCAGTACCACTGTCAATACCAGTTTCCTGCTACACCCTGGGAGGCAGCCAGTGATGTTTAAGTACTTGGGTACATGCCACCTATGTAGGAGCTAAGCCTGGCCAGGCCCTGGCTATTGAAGGCATTTGGGAAGTGAACCAGCAGATGAAAGATATGTGTGTGTGTGTGTGTGTGTGTATCTATCCATGCACTTCACAAATAAAACAGACAAATAAGCATTTAAAAAATAAGTAGATACAGCAAATGTAGTAAATTCTTACAGAAATTTAGCTTTTAAAAATAGAACATGGATATTAGGGCATAACTAAAGGAAGACAGAAGGTCAAGGACTGGCTCTTAAAATAGGAGACCCTAGGGGCAAGCACTGTGGCGTAGTGGGTAAAGCCACCGCCTGCAGTGCCAGCATCCCATATGGGCGCCAGTTCGAGTACTGGATGCTCCACTACAAATCCAGCTCTCTGCTATGACCTGGGAAAGCAGTAGAAGATGACCCAAGTGCTTAGGTCCCTGCATCTGTGTGGGAGACCCGGAAGAGTCTCCTGGCTCCTGGCTTCAGATCAGCACAGCTCTGGCCATTGAAGCCATCTGGGGAGTGAACCAGCGGATGAAAGACCTCTGTACCCCTCCCTCTCTCTCCCTCCCTCCCTCCCTCCCTCCCTCTCTCTCTGCCTCTCCTTCTCTGCCTCTCCTTCTCTGTGTAACTCTGACTTTCAAATAAATACATAAATCTTTAAAGAAAAGAAAAAAAAAAAAACAGGAGACCCTAGAACTTGCCTACAGTGATGGGTACGACCACTTAGAGAGGGGCACTGACAATGCGGGAGGGGAGACGAAGTTGCCAGAGCAGTATCCTGAGACGCCGCAGGCACGCGACTTGGACAAGCACCGGGTTCTGCTATGTCTCAGCTTCCTCACCTGGAAAACTAGAATCCGTCCTACCTCGGGAGCTGCTGTGAGGATCACTTCAGTGGACACATAGGTACTTAGCACCCAGCCCAGCACAGCGTAGACACTGTCCAAGGTTGGCATCCAGGGCAGGGCTGGCTCAGGGACACCCTCCACTGCAATAGGAGAGGTACGGACACAAGCACAGGTATAGAAAGAAGCGTGGTGAGGGGCCAGCGCTGTGCTGTAGCAGGCTAAGCCTCCGCTTGAGGCACCTGTATCTAATACGGGCACCGGTTCATGCTCCACTTCTGATCCAGCTCCCTGAGGACAGCCTGGGAAAAGCAGTGGAAAATGGCCCAAGTACTTGGACCCCTGCACCCAGAAGAAACTCCTGGCTCTTGGCTTTGGATTGGCTCTGCTCCAGCTGTTGCAGCCATTTGGGGGGTGAACCAGCAGATGGAAGACCTCTTTCTGAGTTTCTCCCTCTCTCTGTCTGTAACTGTACCTCTCAAATAAATAAAATCTAAAAAAAAAAAAAAAAACCACAGGTGTGATAGGAGTATGTGAAAGTTACTTTCAGGCCAGCACCGCGGCTCAATAGGCTAATCCTCCGCCTTGTGGCACCAACACACCGGGTTCTGGTCCCAGTCAGGGTGCTGGATTCTATCCCGGTTGCCCCTCTTCCAGGCCAGCTCTCTGCTGTGGCCCAGGAAGGCAGTGGAGGATGGCCCAAGTGCTTGGGCCCTGCACCCCATGGGAGACCAGGAGAAGCACCTGGCTCCTGCCTTCAGATCAGCATGGTGCGCCAGCCGCAGCGCACCGGCCGTGATGGCCATTGGAGGGTGAACCAACGGCAAAGGAAGACCTTTCTCTCTGTCTCTCTCTCTCTCACTGTCCACTCTGCCTGTCAAAAAAAAAAAAAAAAAGAAAGAAAAGAAAAAGAAATTTACTTTCATATTTTTATTTTTTAAAGATTTATTTATCTATCTATTTGAAAGACAAAGCTACAAAGAGGGAGAGGTAGAGGAAAGAGAGAGGTCTTCCATCTGCTGGCTCACTCTCTAAATGGCTACAACAACTGGAGCTGGGCCTATCCAAAGCCAGGAGCCAGGAGCTTCCTCCAGGTCTCCCACGTGGGTGCAGGGGCCCAAGGCCTTGGGCCATCCTCTACTGCTATCCCAGGCCATTGCAGAGAGCTGGATCAGAAGTGGAGCATCAGGGACTCAAATCAGTGCCCATATGGGATGCCCACACTGCAGACAATGACTTTACCCAGTACACCACAGCACTGGCCCTTCATATTTCTTTTTATTTTCTCAAATCAAAAATGGAAAGGGAAACAGAACTGGTGGTGGTCTGGAGGCAAGAGGACAAAGCATGAAAAAGTCACCTGGGAGAGTGGGCGAGTGAATTCTCAGGGGGAT